GATTAAAGATGAAAATAAGTTAAGTCAAACTATGTTATATTATAATTTAGTAGGTTTGAACTTAACTTTTTTTAAAATACATGTCTTAAATATGACTTATTTATCTTAGACATTTTTTAAATATTTGGTTAGAACTACAATTCTAAAAATATACTTTATAATAATTTAATACTAATAAAAATATAAAAATAAATATTTTAAGTTGTATAAAAATTAAGTTTAATTTATTTATAATATAAACATGTTTTTAATATCTAATATAATATTTTAGATAATAATTTATTTCAAACATATTTTATAATAAAAAATTTAAATAGAATATAAATATTCCAATATTTTCCATTTTGATTTTTTTAATCAACATATAGAATCTTACAATTCTTACTATTTTAATTTTTTTAATCAATGTATACATAAATAAAAAGCACATAAGGTAAATATATATGCTACAAATTTTATTTTATCAAAAATTAAATTTTTTAAAAAAATTAATTCGTTATTAAAAAGTATTCTTTATCACATATGAGAAATAATCTCCTTAAAAAATTTGATAAATATCAAATAAATGAACAACTCTTTTAAGCTTGTATTTTATAATATCAACACACAAAAAAAACTTGTATTTTATAATATGATAATTTAAATATATATGTTTCTTTAATTAAAATATAATTTTTTTTAAAAATATATTATTTTTTGGATAAAAAAAATGTGTTGGAAAATGGTAGTGGGGGCACATGCCCCCACTCTCCCTTACGTGGATCCGTGCCTGGTTGCAAGGTCTTATTGATAGTTTGGGTTTGAATGTGCAGAGACGTATACTTTATTGTGATAGTCAAAGTGCTTTGTATTTGGCAAAAAATCCAATCTATCATGAAAGATCAAAGCATATTGATGTCAGATTGAATTTCATACGAGATGTAATTGAAGATAAATTGTTCTCCATAGAAAAGATAGTTACTGTAGACAATCTAACAGATATGTTGACTAAACATTTTATTAACAATTGGTGTTTTTTATTAATTTAAATACTATATTGTGATTAGTTGTTTATTAGTTATAAGACTCTAAGGATTTAGGAATTCTTATGAATTTTAAGTTCTTTTGAGTTGTTCTAAGTTGAGGTCAAGTTTAATCTGTAAAGAAAAGTTAAAGAGAGAAACTCCGGAGTAAGAAATTCTTCCTCCATTTTTTGAGTCTTCTAGAGAGTGTAGAAGTCCTTCCTTAGAATCAAGGAACGATTGAATTGAGGTTCAAGTCACTAAAGCTAAGAATTTGAGTTTTAGAGTTACCATATGCAGTTTTCAGAGGATTCCATTTTCTATCCCTTCGTCTTCCTTTCTAATTGATTTTTAAGTAAGGGAAGCTTTTGAAAATTTTTGTGGTTGAATGAATTGTTGAATCATTGTCTGAAGTATGCATTTTCCTAGTTGTGTTGGTTGGAATTGAGAATCAGATACTTGGACTTTGAGTTCTTTGTTGCCTTTTGAAGAAATTGAGAAAAATGATGGTTTGATCTAGAAAAATGATAGAGCCTTCGAATGCATTCTCCGAAATTCATTCTGAACGATTAATATAATAATTTAAATTATAAAATATTAAATTAAATAATTATTTTATAATAAATTTATTAAAAAAATTAATATTTTAATATTCGGAACGTGATTCAGAATACGTTTTCGGACAGTGTATCATTTCTCTTTGATCTATTTATGAGTTGCATGTTGAAGATTGTTATATATTTGAGTTGAGTATGATGCCTAATTGTGTTTTATTGTGTTGCATGTTGCTTTGAGTTGGATTTTAGGTGAGGAGAGCTAAAAATGTGATTCTGCTAAGTGTAAAAATTATCATGGTGTCAAATGTGATGCAGACTAGACAATGTCAAGTGCCAATGTTGTGATATTAGCTAGGCGCGAGTTAAGTAGAGACTCTATGCTTGAACAAACTCAAACATTGATTTAGCCATGTTATGCGTGATTGACACAAGAATTCCCTACCTTATTCACATCAGACATGGGTAGTTTGGTGTTGGACATGGGTGAGCCAAAGGCTCTCTACCTAAGTGACGCTGAGCGTGGAAAGAATGGTACGGGTGTGAGATTCTAAATGAAAATATGTTGTTTAATTAGTTAAGTGTTGAATATTATGTGTATAAGTGAAAATGTTCAATGTTGTATGATTCTGTAAGACTTTAATTATGTATACATTGATTTAGGATGATGTATATAGATATTTAAGTTGTTTAAAGTTATAAGTTGAATAAAAGTTAAGTTGTATGTTATATAATGTTGAGGTGATTGTGTTAAGAATGCTAAATGCACGGAATTGAATTTTGTTGTGTTTTTTATATTGAATTTATATTTCTATAGTGTTAATATGAAAGAGAAAACATTAAAAAATTAATAACAGAAATTAAAAATATTTAAAAAACTGCAACTATAAGAAATAAAAAGATTTATCTTTTAATTATAAATAAGGATTAAAAATGATTGAATAAAATAAGTATAAAAACAAAAAAAATATATTTTAAACTATTAAAACTATAAAAAAAAATAAAGGTGAAACTATAGAATAAAAAAAATATTTTAGCCAATACAAAATTATGAAAAACACAAGTCGAAATAGAATTCAACAAAAATAAAAATAAAAAGGAAAACAAGTATGAGGCTAATTAACCTAACAAAAGTGCAGATCTGCAAGGAGAGAACACGAAGGTCTTACCAAAAAGTCCAAGCAGCTCGAACTGACCAATTAGTACATTTTGCAGTTTGGTCATGCAATATCATTATCAACCATATAATTTTGTAGATGCTTTGTTTTCGCACTGTTTCCATTTCTATGCACATCCTTCGTTACTTACGTAGATCCATCTAAAACCTCACAAAAACTGATAAACTAAAAAATATAATAAAAAAACTCTATTTTTAACATTTGAAAATGATAATTTTTTAAAAAATCATTTTAATTATTTTTAATTCTTTTAATATTTTAATGATATTACTATTTTCTAAAACAAGTTTGAGTTAGTGTGTAAACCAAATAATAAAAAGACTAAATTATATTTATGGTTCTTTTATTTATTTATAAAATTTAATTTATTTTCACTATTTTTAAATAATTTAATTTGATTTTTTAATTTTTAAAAATATTCAATATTATTCTTTTCTGAAACAAACATTGTTAGTGAAATATGATGAGAGAGTAACATTAAACATCATTTAAAAATTAGAGACTAAATTGGACATTTTATAAATATAAAGATTAAATTGAACAAAAATTTATCTAACATTTTTTGTTTAGATAAATTGAATTTTCTCTTACCTATTTAATAATTTCTTATATTAGATAACTCCTTCATTTTGTGATAATTTTTCTTTTAATTTCAACTACTCAATTTGTTGTCATTCATGATCTTGTTAAAAAAAATTAAACTTATCTAAATAAAAAATTAGATAAATTTTTATTTAATTTAGTCACACTATTTTTAAAATGTTCGATTTGATTCTATTATTTTTAAAATATTCAATTTGGTTCTCATGTACAATATTTTCTTTTCACCTAATTTTATTAATATTGTTAGTATTAATTTAAAAAAAAAAGGACAACATTTAACATTCTTTAAAAATTAAAGAATTAAATTAAATCTTTTTAAAAAATGAAATTAAATTAAATCTTAAAAATAAATAGAGTGACTAACAATATAATTTAACCTAATAAAAAAGGTATTAGTATATTGTTTATAAAAAAAAACTTAAGCTATCACATACCTCTAGTTAAATACTAATCTCTTAAAATATGCATATATATATATATATAAAGATTAACATTTTCGATACATGTTATTTATATACGTGGCGTGAAAATCAAACTTTTAATTACATATTTAATGGCATCATTTTGGTAACTAATAATGTAATGTAACTAATTAAATATAATATGCAGACACATTTTATTAATATTTTTAATTGGTCATTAAATTAGTCGGTAATAACATTTTTATTGTCTAAGTCAATAATAATAATTTATTAGAACAAAAAATCATTATGGTCATAGTAAAATAAAATAAAATTACATATACCCCCTTCCAAGTTTATCAAATAAAATTCAAAACATCAACTTTCATTAATGCAACTCATTGCGGTTGGTTTTTCAACTTCAAGATTTCAAATTCGTAATACAATCAAGATTTTGAGGAAGATTAGTTTTTTTTGTAAAATCCGTAAATATTCTTGTCATTATTATGGGTAAAAAAAAAAAAAATTTCAAACAATAATCATTCATCTTAATTTGACTAATTGTATTTAATTCATGCCAAAAATATATTCTATATCCGACAAACAAAACTTTAATGCAACTTTAACGAATAATTCCTGAACAAAAACTTTAATGAAAAATTCTAACGTGAATAAGAAACGTTCGTGAATCATCCTGTTTTTCTATATCTTCCGTGTCTAAAAATTCTGAAAAAGGAAATTAAGTTAACAAATGTAAATATGAAAACAACAAACAACGCTGTTACTGATTATATGATTAGCATGTAGCAAGGAAGACACGTAGTTAGCCTCAACTTTTGACTCTAACGTTGTTCACACGGTTTCTTCCTTTTTCACAATGCAAATGCATTGCGACAATCTATCTTCCAAACTTCTCGTCCTTTGCTTTCTTGTCCACACTTCCAATGATGTACACATTTTCTAGCATTTCAAGCCCCATCTCCTGCAAACAACAGAAACAATCTATTGCTTCTTCCAACTTCAATCAATGTCTCTTGCATCATTTTTTCTTGTCTTCCTTTGTTGTCATGCACTTCCTTCTCTTGCTGATCCAAGAGAGACAGAGGCAGCTGTGTTGTGCACCAACACCACAGCACCAACGCCTCTGAGACAAGCTTTCTTAGAAAACTTTTATGATGCTTTGGATGCCTTAACCAGTGAGGTCACAAGGCAAAGATATGCACTTATAGTTAGAGGATCTACTCAAAGTAATGCCACTGTCTATGCCTTTGGTGAGTGCATGAAAGATCTTTCTATTCCAGATTGTGGTGTCTGCTTTGCTCAGTGCAAGACAAGTGTCCTTAAGTGCTTTCCAATTCAGAGAGGGGTTAATGGTGGCAGGCTCTTCTTTGATGGGTGCTATCTTAGGTATGATGGCTACAACTTCTTCAATGAGAGTGTGAGTCCTAAGGACATGACTGTTTGTGGAAATGAAGATTTTAGAGGGAATTGGAGTGTTTACAAGGCCAATACTTTGGAGTTGGTGAGAAATTTGAGCGTTGAAGCACCAAAGAATGAAGGGTTCTTTGTGGGGTATGTGAGTAGAAGGAATGTGACTGTTTATGGGTTGGCTCAATGCTGGAAGTATGTCAATGCCACTGCTTGTCAGAATTGTTTGGCTAAAGCTGCCACTAGGATTGATTCTTGTGCTTCAAAAGGAGAAGGAAAGGCATTGAATGCAGGGTGCTACTTGAGGTATTCCACACGCAATTTCTATATTAGTTCAAGCCACAATAACCCTCAAGAAAAAAAAGGTGAGTTGGTGCCACTCGTGGAAATTTTCACTTATTGTCTCTTGGTTTTGGTAGATGTTTTTGGGATTTTAAGTAAATTTCAAGTGTACATTTTGTTACTTTTTTGTTAGTTATAGTATTTCATTTCTTAACAATACAAAGCAAAAATCTTCATGACTTATTCTGATTTCTTGGAAACCATGCAAATAAAGCCGTGTGTTACTGTGTTAGGAAATAAAAATCTTGCTATAATTGTGGCTGCATCATCTGCTTCCGTGGCTCTTCTGCTGATTGTTACAACTGTGATTTTCTTTGTAAGGAAAAATGTACTGAAGCGGAGGAGAGGTAATCTATGTGTGATATTTTGGAATATTAGATTATTGTTCATTGTTTAAACTTCAGGTACTGAAATTTATGTTGGTTTTTGCCTCAGAAAGAAGACAATTTGGTGTACTTTTGGAATCGGTGAACAAGTCCAAACTAAATATGCCATATGAAATTCTTGAGAAAGCCACTGATTACTTCAGTGATTCCAATAAGCTAGGAGAAGGGGGATCAGGATCAGTTTATAAAGTAACTTCTGATCTAATCTATTCTTATCTTTTTTAACACCAAAGTTGTTCATTTAAAAATGGGCTAAAACTAACTGTGGTTTCAAATCAATATAGGGAGCTCTGCCAGATGGTACTACCGTGGCTATAAAAAGGCTTAGCTTTAACACAACACAATGGGCAGATCATTTCTTCAATGAGGTCAATTTGATCAGTCGCATTCATCACAAAAATCTAGTGAAGCTTTTAGGATGCAGCATTACAGGACCTGAAAGCCTTCTTGTTTATGAATTTGTGCCTAATCATAGCCTCTATGATCACCTATCTGGTAGCAATCTAATATTATTTATCTGGCCTTAAACACGTTATCCTTTAAGTTAATCACTATTTACTAATATGTCCATTGATTTGGTCCAGGTAGAATGAATACTCAACAATTAACATGGGAAATCAGGCATAAAATCATATTGGGAACGGCAGAGGGCTTGGCCTATCTTCATGAGGAATCACAGAGAATCATTCATAGAGATATAAAATTAGGCAACATTCTCATTGATGACAACTTCACACCTAAGATTGCTGATTTTGGACTAGCTAGATTATTTCCAGAAGACAAGTCTCATCTTAGCACAGCCATTTGTGGCACACTGTAAGTTCATCACCCTCTTTAATATAATACACATACAACGCATAAATGCCATTTATAGAAGAATAAGCATATGGGAAGAAAGAGCTTGTTTTATAAACAAAGGAATTATCATAATAAAATGCAGAATTGATGAAATACTTTCTTAAATCTTGCATGTAATGGGTTATAAAATTAGTAATTAACTGAAGGCACAATATTAAGTCATGAAAGTTACCTTCCAATGATGCCCTTTCACGATTGATAAGCAGTTAAGCACTTTGGTATCTTGTATGAACCTCCAAAGTTAACCCTTCTGTTGACTTCTAGCTCCTACACATTTTCATCACATAGTTCATAAATTCAAATATACAATTTCTTCCATGCTCACTTGTAGGGGTTATATGGCTCCAGAATATGTAGTTCTAGGAAAGTTAACTGAGAAAGCAGATGTCTACAGTTTTGGCGTTCTAATTATGGAAATTATATCTGGCAAAAAGAGCACATCCTTCGTTCAAACTTCATATTCCATTCTACACACGGTAACCCTCTCTTATTATTGTCATTTGGCATACTTATATTAATTTGGTCTTGATATCAGGTGAATGACATCATGTAATTTTTGTAGAACCTGTTTGGATACAAATTATAAATGTTTTTGAGAATTTCTCTATTAAAAAAAATCTTTATTTTTAATAGAAAATTTCTTAAAAGCACTTCTAAAACTTTTGTTGTTGTTTTATACTTGTATTAATTCATTTTGTGCTTTTGACAAGTGTTGTCATAGCTCTAAGACTTTTGTTCTCTCCTTTTGTACAAGGTTTGGAGCCTTTATGGATCAAACAGGTTATGTGACATTGTTGATCCAATCTTAGAGGGAAATTATCCGGTAGAGGAAGCATGCAAACTCCTTAAGATAGGGTTGCTTTGTGCACAAGCATCTGCAGAGCTTAGACCACCCATGTCAGTAGTTGTGAAAATGATTAACAACAATCATGAAATTTGTGAGCCAACACAACCACCATTTCTGAATTGTGGTAGTGCAGAATTCAGTAAATCTATTTTACAAGGAGAGAGTTTTGTGGGTAGCCCTAGATCCTGTTCCCAGTCTTCAGAGGACAGCATGACCGAAAATCTGATTGAGCATAAATGGGTTACAATATAAATTCGAACTAATAATATACCATTCCATAACATTTTCTCCTCACGCCTTGTACATATTTAATGGGAAGGTGCTTGATATGCTTTTTCATATGCCCAGTTTACCTTCCAATTTCAAATTATAAAATATGCATGTTCAATTTGACTCAACATACTTACAGTATGTTTGCTTTGAAAAAAATTAATAAGAACCAGATATTGACGGATTTATAAATAAATGTATATAATATGATTTGTGAGGAGAGAACTACCGAGAATTACTCAATTTAAAAATCCTTGTCAACATTGAATTTTATTGATTCATAAGTAAAATTAAAAGTTTTGTTTGAATTTATACATTTATACAAAATTTATAAACAATTTGATATTTTGTTACATTGATTTAAATTGATGTATATTAATAGGATTATATTATATGTTAATTTAAATTTATATAATAATATATTATATAATTTTTTTAAATTTTGTAAAAAATATAAATTTAATTTATTCTTAAGAACTTTTAATTAGTGGTTAAACTGTTGAAATTTAATATAATATAAATCATAAGTTATTTAATAAAATAACTCTATCATAATTTTTAGAATAAGTCGATTCCTTGTCAATTTAAAAATATTAAAAATATTTTTTTTTAAATGACATAAAATTATAAAAATATCTTTGTTTATAAAAAATAAAATATTAATAATATAAAGACTTAACTTAAGCACAAGATGTACGCAAGTTAAACATTATACAATCATCATGTACAAGAGCAAATATGCTTATTCACAATGTAAAGCAATATGACATGTTCAATCAACTACAAAATATCATGTATAATAAATTTGTTGATTTTTTAATTATTACCTTAAAATTCATATTATTAATAATGATTTTTGTTTTTAATAGATGATTTTATAACTTTTGGTAAAATAAAATAGATGATTATAACTTTCCGTTTTATTATATAAAAGTGCCTCTTTATAGAAATTAAATTTAAGAATTATTGAAAAATGGAGGCTGACCCAATCAGGCCCTCTAACACATTGGAGTTGGAGACCAAATTTTAGACCCATTCAAAGTATGATAATGTAACAATACTTCTTGGAGTTAGAAAAGTATGTTATTTTAAGATATTTTCAAGATAGTTAAATTGAAAGAATGATGACACAAATAAAAATATTGATATGAAGAAGTAATACTACTAAACCACACTAAATTGACACTGTAATATTGAGATATTTTCCGCTTAAAAATTATATATTACAAATAAATTATGCAGATATTTACATTTTAAGAATTTTTTTTTAATTAATTTAAAAATTATTAGTCTAAAAAATTAATATATCACAACTTTATGTTTTTCTTGTTATTTTGATAATTGATAAGCATTTTATTTAGTGTATTTTTGTCATATCAAAATATTTTTAATTTATTGAGTTTGAGACTAACTATATTCGTGATATTATGACTACCATTAACTTGAAGAAATTTTGCATATGATAGAGAGTAAACATGAAATTTTTCACTAAATAAATCATCTATAATGTGTGAATATAAAATGCTTAAATATTAACTATTTTTTTATATTTTATTATTATTGTAAATGTCAACCGAAAAAATAGAATAAAATATGTGAATTAATTTTTTTAATTAATTTAAACTTATTTTATATTATTTAGATAGTTAGATATTAGTAAGGAAGATAACGTGTTAGGTCCCCTTTGGAAGAACTTATAAATAACTTAGTATCTATCATCAAAAATGGTAAAAAAATTCCATCGATATTACTCATAAGAGTGTTTGGTCAAACTAATAAAATATTTTATGGGTAATTCTATAAGATATTTATTTACATGGTTTGGTCTCTCATGTCTACTTTCACAAAGATATTTACTATCTCAAAATATATTATTTATGTTTCTAAAAATCTTCCTTTCAAGTTTTACAGATGAAACTTGAAAACACTCCTCACAAATTTCTTTAGATAAAAGTTGGAAACCCCTATTCATAAATTTCATAGATGAAACTTGAAAACCCTTAACATAAGTTTTACAAACACGACTTAGAAACTCCTAACACAAGTTTTATGATGAAACTTGGAAATCCTTCTTTGTATGGCCTCCTTTATAGGTCTACAATTCTTCTCATCTAAAGCCTTTATTTATTTATTGACTTAACATCCTAATTTTAAAATGGGAAAGTTTGCTCTTTAAATTCTTTTCACAAGCTCCCTCTCTCTCCAACTTATAAAATTTATCATTTTCTCATCTTGTATGATGACGATGGTTTGAGTGAATCCTAAATTCTTACTACAAGTGTACCTAGTGTTTTTAAATAACCTAAGTAGCATAAAATTGTTAAGTGTTTATGTTAGAGAACACAATCACTATGATTCCTAAGTTCAATTAAAAACTCAAGAAACCTTAGCAAGCTATACATAACATGACCTAGCATGTCCCATGTCATGCCTATTTATTGAGTTTCTCTTCTAATATTTTCTAATGACTTATATTTTTTTAGGGTGAGATGTATGATATCTTCTCATGAGTGAGGAGAGCATAAGGTTGCTTATGGCATCTTAGTCTCATGTAACAAGGATATAAAATCATGTTATATCGGTCACAAGAATTTGAATTCATAGGTTCTTGAGCGTTAATTAAGACTTGCTTATGATAAAAACAAGTTAGTTATGGAGATTGATATCTAAATATTAGTTGATTAATGAGAATGAGTCAATCTTGATTTTAGGCTCATTGAAGACTTACTTGACCAACTACATGTGTGCCCTTATTTTCCATCAATGGTACTTAGTCCTTCAAACGTTGAACTTAAAAGGCATAGGCAATAGGGTCAACTATCTCATCCTTTGAGGTGCCTCCAACGTAGCGAGGAGATTAGTCACCGCTATCGGCGGTGGATACTCTAGGGACGAACCTAAAAAAAAGGCATAGGCAATTGTTATTCTTGGTCAAGAAATGCACAATGCCTTAAGTGTTAAGCCTAAAACGTGTAAGAGGTTGTTATTCTTGATCAAACTGTCCATAACCCCTTAAATGTCAAGCTTAAAATGCATGTGACATTTGTTATTCTTAGTCGAAAAGTCTATTAAAAGATTAAAAAATGTTACAAAAATTTACAAAATGATGTCATTACTTACAATGAAAAGTTACACGATTTTATCTTTTAATATTAATCATTCATGATATGATCAAATGACCTTGATTCATTCCACTAAATAAGAGAAATTTTATTACGAAAAAAGTGATAAGACTGAATCTTTGACATCAAATCAAATAATGAAAGGATAAAATAAAAAGATAAAATTAACATGAATTTTTTAACAATCATATATTATTATTAAATAATTTAATTTTAACCATTCATGATGTGCAGTCAAATAAGATACACAAAATCTTAAATTCACTGAAATTTTGAAGAATAAAAAAATATAGTCTTAACATTTCTCTTTGAAGGGAGGGCAAGAGAGTAAATAAATATAAAGGATATCGATGTCAGTCATATTTGAAAGGCAGAAGGTTACCGCGTAGCTACACTCTCTCACATACCACACCTTGTGTCATACTCTGTTTTTCAACGAATTGAATTCTCTGCAACTTCAGTTTTTCAAAGTTTCAACCATCAAGTTGCGACCCTACCACATTATTCGTGCTTGACTCATTGCCTTAAATTTTGTCTCCACCTCATTGACTTCCCCACATAAAATCTTCACCTTCCCGTTCATCTCCCACACAACTAACTTCAATCCAATTCAATTCAATTCCTTCTATGCACAGGTAACAACTTCCTCCAAAACTCTCTTCCCACGTTTGATATTTTAATACTATGTAACAATATTTGCTTCGAGATATCGTGAAACACACTAAGGGACATGCACAAACGTTGTTATTGGTTTGCGTTATTCACTTTTCTTTGTTGTTTTTGGTGAAACCGTGTCCTTGATCGCTGGTTTGGCTCCTGGCTCCTGAGGCGTAGACATGGGTGGTTGTTGCCACGTGTGGGGCCTGTTTCTATGGCTAATAAATGGGGTAGGTTTTTTGTGGGGAAAGCTTTTTATTCCAATGCCCACTTTTTCTCTACAAGCTTTTATTTTCGTTAGCAGACAAAATACAAAGGCAATTAGAGTATGTGAATGAGTGGTTAACAGCGTTTGTTACTAAGGCAATTAACTCACCAATATCTTATTTTTCTAAGCAAAATAACATGGTTATATTGGCTAATTGATCACTATTAACAACTGATTTAGACATCAGTACTAATCGAGAGGATGGGGAAGTGATGGCTATTAATCCAAAGTGGGGCTGGGATGTGATGGGGTGCTTCCATTCTAAACCCCGTTTTTGAGACACTTGGCTTGGTCTAAGACTTGTTATTTTCAGCATCATTAATACGTCATGTAAGTGTGAGCAAGTTTAAAACTAGAGTTTTTAACTGCTGTATAAACAAGGGAAGAAAAGAACCAAAATCTACCTTTCTAGCAATGATTGCAAAAGCAGCAGAACTTTCTTTGAGACTTCAAGGATCGCAACAAAAAAGGTTAAGTACCGACTTGGGTTTCTGCCCTCTTCCCTTCACACGTTAGATGTTACTTTACGAATGTTTTTTTTTCTGCCAGAAGCCCCTCTTTGTCTTCAACTTGCCTTTCTTCTCGGGAACAGAAAAGTTTTGGGGTTCAATCTCACATCTTATATAATGAAATTTGGGCTATAATGGTGGTCTCCAACAATAGGTATTACTGTATTATTACCTCATAGGGATAAGGTTGCTTGAAGCATGTTGTGACCAGTTTAGCTTTAAGCATACAAGCAGTGGTGCCAAATAGATAACCTTTTACTTGTTTTGATTCACCAACAAAAATAAAAACCATGAAAAATGGAATGACTTTTTTATCAGGCATAGGCATTCAAAGCTTCTAAATCCTCCTTTTTCTACACAGTTTCTTGTCAGTGGCCTACCAGAGAAAGTTATTTGGATCAGATAATCCCAAAAATGAAGAAACCAGTCTCTCTCATATGTTCGCAATGCACCGTTCTTCTTCTCATCAAGTTCCTGTTGCTATCAGAGATTGCAATGGCAGAACCAAGGGCCAAGACAGTCCTAATAACATGTGGCCATGAACTAGAGCACAACACTACTATCTTTGTTCCAAATTTTGTTGCAACTATGGAGAAGATCAGTGATGAGATGCGCAAAACTGGCTTTGGCACAGCAGTTGTAGGGACAGGACCTGATACTAACTATGGCCTGGCCCAGTGTTATGGAGATCTTTCATTACTTGACTGTGTATTATGCTATGCTGAGGCACGCACGGTTCTTCCTCAGTGCTTCCCTTATAATTCTGGTCGCATTTTCCTTGATGGTTGCTTCATGAGGGCTGAGAATTATAGTTTCTTTGATGAGTATAAGGGACCAGGAGACAGAGCTGTATGTGGGAACACAACCAAGAAGAATTCAAGTTTTCAAGCAGCAGCAAAGCAGGCAGTTTTGAAAGCAGTTCAAGAAGCACCCAACAACAAAGGATATGCCAGAGGGAATGTTGCTGTAGCAGGAACAACTAACCAATCTGTTTATGTTCTGGCTGATTGTTGGAGGACTCTGGACCAAAGTTCTTGCAAAGCATGTCTTGAGAATGCATCTTCTTCCATATTGGGATGTTTTCCCTGGTCAGAAGGGAGAGCGCTCAACACCGGCTGCTTCATGAGGTACTCAGACACAGATTTTCTTAACAAGGAGCAGGAAAATGGGAGTTCAAGAGGTATACAAATTGCAGTTTTCTTCACACTTTATAGTTGACTATCAAATTGTGGAAGGATTCAGCATCTTGCATTTGAAAAAGTTTAGAGAGTAGGGGTGAAACATTAGTTCATTTAGATGACTTGTGCAGGTAATGTGGTAGTGATAGTGGTTGCGGTTGTCAGTTCGGTGATTGTTTCGGTGGTTGGAGTAACTATTGGAGTTTATATGTGGAAACAAAGATACATTCAAAAGAAACGGAGAGGTAATTGACTTGACTTATTTAATATCTCATCATTACCATTCCCCCAATGGTTAAAACTTAAAAGCTGAAAAAAGCCATTTTAATTTTTGAGCCAAATCAACGCAAGTTAAGTGAACTCACTTGAGATAGGTTTCATCGGTGCATATTTTCTTCATACACAAAATTCAAACCTTAAACCTTGCTTTACTGACTACCTTGCCCACTTAGACCACCAACATTGGTTGTTTTTATTGCATATTTATTTGATAGTCCCTGTCCTCTTAATCATAAATACTGTATATGAATTATTTTATCTTTTGAAGAGCCATCTTGTCCTATAAACAAATTGAGGAATCATTACGAGATACAACACAACAACGTTAAGAATATTCTCTGATCCTAATGTTCATTCTGGTTTACAGGATCAAATGATTCAGAAAAGCTAGCAAAAACACTTCAGAACAAGAGCTTGAACTTCAAGTACTCTACATTGGAAAAGGCAACAGAATCTTTTCATGAAAATAACAAGTTAGGGCAAGGAGGATTTGGAACAGTTTATAAAGTAGTTCTCTTCTCCAAAGACCTATATATCTATAATTTTACATATGGCAGCACTCTTACAATTTGTTATTGCAGGGAGTTCTAGCTGACGGGAGAGAGATTGCTATCAAGAGGTTATATTTCAATAACAGACATAGAGCAGCAAATTTCTACAACGAAGTCAACATAATTAGTAGCGTGGAACATAAGAATCTAGTCAGACTGTTAGGATGCAGTTGTTCAGGACCTGAAAGCCTGCTTGTATATGAATTTCTACCCAACAAAAGTCTTGATCGCTTCATTTTTGGTAATTACTGAACTCGTGCAGTAGGCTTGACTACTCTTTTCACCAATAACACCTCATTTTGATCACTAGGTGGTTATCAATTTATCATAATGTGAACTAAATGCAATATTTCTCAACTTATACATGACAGATAAAAACAAGGGCAAAGAATTGAACTGGGAAAAGAGATATGAAATTATCATTGGGACAGTCGAAGGATTAGTTTACCTGCATGAGAACTCCAAAACAAGGATAATTCACAGAGATATAAAAGCCAGCAACATCCTATTGGATGCAAAGTTTCGTGCTAAAATTGCAGATTTTGGTTTGGCCAGGTCCTTTCAAGAGGACGAGAGCCACATTAGTACAGCTATTGCAGGAACATTGTAAGTATCTTTTCATAAATCAAAACATAATTTTGAACAAATTGTAGGAGGCAAAGAGCCAGGTGCTATTGTAAGAAACAGCAGTGTATTATATCTGAAATAACCATTTACTCTCGGACATGCAGGGGGTATATGGCTCCCGAGTACTTAGCTCATGGTCAGTTAACAGAAAAGGCAGACGTATACAGTTTTGGGGTGTTGCTGCTAGAGATAGTTACTGGTAGACAGAACAACAGGAGCAAAGCATTAGAGTATTCAGACAGCTTAGTTACAGTGGTCAGTTGCAGATTCCTTGCTCTCTTTTTTTTCTGATCGTTGTTCAACTGTACAATGTACATTAATTGTGGTTAAGACAAGATAAACTACTGACGAAACAATTATGTTCTTTCTTTTATCAAATATGTTCTGGCAACATCAGGCATGGAAGCATTTCCAGGCAGGAACTGCTGAACAATTATTTGATCCAAATCTAGAGTGGCAGGACGAGCACAAAAGCAATATTAAGGATGAGATTTTAAGAGTGGTTCACATAGGACTTCTATGCACCCAAGAGGTCCCTTCATTACGACCAATCATGTCAAAGACACTACAGATGCTAACAAAGAAGGAGGAGCATCTTGTTGCTCCCTCTAATCCACCCTTCCTAGATGAGTTTACTATGGAACTTCACGACACAAGTGGTGACCCATTTTATCCCCTTAATGCAGCAGCTGATTCAATTGCTACTATGTCCCATAGCTCTTTTTATCCCAGGTGACCATGGGAATGCAGAGAAAACCACTACACACAGTATGTATGCAGCACAGCTTGTGATTGGCAACTTACTTGGTCTAGATCCGACATACTACTACACTGAAGGTTGCAAACGAAGCATATGTACCATTGCTATTTGAAATACATACTTCAGAAAAGGGGAGCTTTTAAGTCAATTTCCAATACCGTTACGGGAAGCAAACAATTCATACTGTATAGTTCCAAGATTATATAATTAATTATTGTACAATTTGACGTTAATCTGATATTTGTAACAGCACATAAATAAATAAATAAAGCAAAGATTATAAGCTTTTACTATTATGCTCTTTAATGAGTCCAATTTTAATGAGACATTGATTAAGCACTACCAAGAATACTCGGAACGTGATCAAGAGAAACAAAAAGGGGCTTTGATTACAATGTACTGAAACACGCAGTTTATAATGTACCAATCATGACACAACCAACATTTGCGAAAGGTCATACGAAGAAATATGAAAACGTGACTGGAGCATTTCCATGGAACATTTATCTCCGCATATAAAAATAACAAAATGCTGGGCAATAGAAGAGCAACTGTTTATTCAATAGTAATGCACATGGATTAACAACAGATTTTATGATTTTACAACCTGAATACAGCCCACAAGGGGGAAATAATCTGTTCATAGAAAAGATAAATCCACAAATCCCATCTTAGCTCTAACGCTTAGCTACTAAACACCCCATGAGGCCTCCACCAATCTCATAATGTTGGGCGGCAGAAAATCCAACTTCTAAGGCAAGTTTCTCCAATTCCTTCCCTGCATCAGAGGAGGATTCTTAAATTAGGCAAGCAATCGTAACAAAGTTCTACCATCAATGGACATAATTTATGTTTCCCGTTTGTTTGCTAATTATTTTCCAATTATTAAGCACAATTATGAACTGCATGAATATCACTAGGAATGATAATTGGACCCGAACCTAATGGATACCAGAAAAAATATATATATATATACAAGTAGAAGGTTTTATCAGCTAAATGGATATAGATCCAGGTTACACGCAAAAGTTCACAAGTACGTTAGTATATGGATTTTAAAGCACCCCACCTAAGACCTGCATGCAGGAATGAAAATAGGTCGGACTACTCGACAGTAGCCTTATAGCTTAGCCTACATTAGGCTCAGCCACTCAGGCCAAACCAAGGCTTTTATTAAGTTTATTTAGTTAAAAAAATCAGGTTCTACGCCATTCAAAAAGCCTTTTAGGCCTAACAAGCCAACCTATTCAAATAAAAGTAAATAAATATTTTGTTATTATTATTGTTATTATATCAAGTACGAAGAAGACAGAGGTCAGAGAACACATTATAATAATCCTATAGAATAGCTTCACAAAAATATACTTAAGCATGTTGAATTAAAAGTTTGATCTGATAAAATCTTCCACTTCAAAACAAACCTGTTAAAAATTCTCTTATTGAACTCTTGAGATATCTGTATTCCTCTGAAAGATCATAAACAGAGGCAACAGGGACAACAATATTGTCAATCATCCATTCCTAGCAGAAGTAAATACATGGGGTTACCTTCGGTGCATCCAGCAAATCAAAAGAATAAAAGGAGATTGTAAAAAAAATGCCGAATATATGATATGATGTGATAATCTAATATTCATTAACACATGGATTAAATTTTTCTCAAAACCTAGCAGTGCCAAGCATGATTACATCTGTCTAGTCAAACTGATAACTCTAAGGCATTGCTCATTGCTGAAAAGAATAAATTTATTGTCCTTTCACGTATCTTGATTTTTAACCTTAAGCCAAGCCTTCTAATTTACTGACATCAGAATGGTGACTATAATAGCATTGCTGCACCAATTATTGTTATATCTCATATGAAGTAACTAATAAGGCTGAGATATACCGTAACTGAAGAAGCTAGTGAGTCGTCGCTTTTATTAAAGTCGAGGATAGACACTGTAGCGCCTGGCAAGCAAAATAAACCATAAGATGCATCAAATTTGATATAGAGTTTGTTTAGATACAGTTTAGAAGTATTTTTTAAAGCTTCTCTACTGAAAATAAAGAGTATTTTTCAATAAAAAAACTCTAAAAACTAAAAAGTCTTTCTAAACTTGTATCCAAACATGCTAATAAACATCAATCATCATATTAATGGGTTGAAATACAAAACCTACCAGCTTTTAGGACACGTAAAATTTCCTGCATGGCTTTACGCTTATCAACCACATTCCGAAGACCATAGCCCATAGTGATAGCATCAAACCAACCATCAGAAAATGGTAAGTCAAGAGCATCACCTTCAACCCACCTATGATACAACAAACGATTACTACCTTTTGAAGTCACCAATGATACTAAGATACAACACAATCACAAAGGAACTCCTTACTATAAACACTGCTAGTAGCTTTATACCAGACAGCAAGGAAATTTTGTTTGAAGGACCAAATATTGTGGACAAAGGGTTAAAAATAATAAAAATAAAGAATCTCCAGACCATAATCTAATGTCTGCATACTACAAAATTTACCCATGCTCACTCAATATTCGTGAAGCGCTTCTTTGAAAGCGAGCACTGCCGAGATGAGGCAATTGATAGCTGGTCCTTGGAAAAATCAAGACCAATCACCTACACCCCAAAACATTCACATAAGACATACCCACAGTGTCACTATAAATGCTTAACAATAATAGCAAGAGTAAGAGTGTATGTTCTATCGATGTAAAGGAGCTTTCACTATGATTCAAGCACAAACTACCATATATAGTAAATTTATTAACTTTTATAATAACAACTTAAAAACACACCAACAATGTTTTCTAATTGGTTGACAATGTAATTTTTTGTTACTATGATATGGCATAGAATTTAAACTCAATAATAACAATAGTAATAGTTAAAAGAAAACTAATTGCCATAGGACCAAGACACACAACAATAATAATAAATCTACCCTTATATTACAAATTAGAATACATAATTAACTTGAAAAGTGGTGCCTTCACTCTTCTCACTTTCTCAACTTAAATTAAACACTCTCAATCTTTTCTCTTTTTTCCATTGGACGTGCATATCAACCATTTCCCCCACATCTAGCCAAAACATTTCTCCCAATCATGTCAAACTGCACTCCTTATCTGTCTATTTTTTCAATCTACCCTCTTCTATCCTTTATTTCTAAACTGAATTTAAATAATTTTTTCAAAGAAATTATAAATAGTCAAAATAAAACTTATATCACAATCTAAATTATTGATTGTAAATCCAAAATATAATTTATCCATTTAAAAACATTCATTTATCATAAATTCTAATTAGATAAACGTAAAACACGTGGAGAGAAGACACATTGCCAGAGAGAGAGAGAGGACCTTGCCATGAGAGCCAACTTTGTCAGACAAGAGAAAGGATAAATCCCCACTTCCACAGCACACATCCAACGCACGGTCTCCGAATTTCACTCTGTCCCCACATTCACAGCACAAAAACAACACCGAATTTAGAAATGAAAACAAAAACAGTGATATTTTGGAGTGAAGAAAGAAGGATACCCACCCAGTCCACGAAACAGCCATTCGCTTCCAAACACGGTGTTGTCCAAGGCTCAGCAAATCGTTGAGCTGTTCAAGCAGACACAGAAACGGCGTAAGTTATAAAAGAGGCGACACCGGAAAAGGAAGAAAGGGAGAGCGGCGCACGTTATCATAGACAGGTGCAATGCGGCTAAACAGCTCCCGGCGCTCGTTGGAGCAGCGAAGCAACGTCGGTCGGAAAGTGGAAGAAGAAGAAGAAGAAGGAACGAACGTCGCCATGTGCTGCTCCTGCTATACACACTTTTCCCATCGCTTTGAAATTCGGATTCACTTCCTTTTTTATTCATCTATTGATGACACGTGCGCGTCACGTGTTCATCCTTCGTGGGCCCACCCATCAGCCTATGGATTGGGTTATATTACCGCTTCCACTCTTTCAACCCAAAACAACCACTCATCCATTTTATTTTATTTTAACTCTCTACTTTGCTAGTTGGATTTTGTTCGGCTACAAAATTTAATTTAAGGTAGTCTTATCCTAAGCATAAAAGTGAAATTACATGACTTGAATTTTTTAAGTGATATATGTCTGTTTATTGTCTAATGGGCCTATCTTATAGATTTCATAAATAGTAGATCCAATCTAGGTCCATCTATATAAAGATCGAACGAGAATTGATCGATCATGAACTTAGGAAGGTCTAGATTTAAAATGCATCATTATAATGATTCATAATGGGAAGAAATTGTCAAATTTTTAGGATGTCAAATAAATTTTTCAAATTTAATTATTTTTATTATTTTATCTTTAAATATATATTAATATTATCACTTTTTTTTAAAAAAAATTTAGTTTTGGCCAAATGTAGATGATAATTTACTTTTCTTAGGAACTTATTTTACAATTTCTTAACACTAATATTATAATAATATATATTTTTAAATTCATGATAAATAATTTTTATTACATTATTTTTGTTTATTGATAACTTATTTTAAAATATTAAAATATAATTCATAAGTTAGTATGATAAATAAAAATTAAATTAGATAAGAAGTTAAAAGAATTTATAAAAATTTATGAGTAAACATCCAATGGTTCATGAAAGATGGTAAAAGTGAATTATGGGTTCCTAAAAGATTTTTTGTGACATATAGATCATTAAATTTTAACTTTGTTATACAAGTTAGTCATTTCATACTAATTCTGCTAGTCTTTTGATCAATCAATGGTTAATTGGTATGTTGTCATGTTTTCTTTCTCTGGGTTGATTGCTTTCTCTCCTAATTACTTAGTATGAGCCATAATGCAAGGATTTGATATTTTTCAATCAGTAATGAATACTTTGTTATGTTTAAATATTCTAGTCTTAGTTGCTCTAGTTACAATGAAAGGATTTGGTACTTCCACACTACTATCATAGGAGTTTTGCAATACATTAAACATAATAAAAGCAATCATATTTTATTGATGCATCGTTGTTTAAGATCTTTCATAAAAACAACAATTTTTTCTAAATTCAAAATTTAATAATTTAGGACTTACAATCTTTAACTTATAGCCAAAATAAACAAAAAAAAATTAGAAAAATTCTACGTCCCCGCAATCATGTGTCGAAACTTATTTTTAATCCTTAAAAAATTAGTTTAAACTATAAAATATTAAATTAAATAATTATTTTAAAATGAATTTATTGAAAAGTAAGAATATTTTAAAAGTTTGAACGTTTCGGTTTTTTTGTTGAAGGATATAGCAATTCTCAAGAAATTAAGGATGGTCGAGACAAAAAAAAAATCAACTATAGATAATTCTACAAAATTCAACAACAACCATCCATTATAATCAGAAATTAGAATCTTTAAAGATGACAAAGTGTTTGTTGCTGATTAACAAGTATCAAAATCTTATATTATGATTTATATTAAATGACTAGGAAAGAGAATAGATGTCAACTTGACACTTAACTATTAATTGTTTAAAAAACTAACAAAGTTAATAATTAAGTATAATGGAAGAACCTACTTGCATAAGAGGGTTAAAATTTAGTAGGACAGTGCATGGCTTGAGTTTTAAAAAAAACCTCATCAAACTGCATTGCACCATTTTATCAAACTAAACCAGCTTATGAACTATTTTAACCTTAAACACTAAGTCCTAAACCATTTTAACCACATCAATAAACCACTTTAGAACCAAATCACTTTTATAAACAAGTTCAAAATAAGTTTAAAATTGATTTCATAACTAAACCAATTTTGAAGCACATTTAAGAACAAAATAAGATTTAAACCATTTATTTAAGTAGAAAGCAAGTTTTTTCTTTTATCAAAAACAAAGTTATGATTAATGAACTTTTAGAGACATATTAAAAGAAAATTACTAGTTAAACATTTAATTTGGAAACCAATTAACTAGACAAATACATTATAAAAGGTAAAAAAAATTGTTTATTTTATTAAAAAAAATTAAGGAAAAAAATGTACACAAAAGAACTCTTAGAGATTAATTCCAAAACATTGAAAAACTATAATTGTATTTCAAAAAAATTAATTATGAAACATGATTTAATACGTGACATTTACTTTAATAGACTAAAGATAATAAAAAAAAAAGTTATAAAAAGGCAAAATTAAAACATGATCACTGTAAATAAAATTCAAACATTTTATGCAATATTATAAATTACTAAATCATGAGAAATGAGAGACAAAAAGATTAATTTGATTTAGTTTTATTTTATTATTTAAAAATTGGTACACCAAGGTGTCAAATTTATCTACCAATGGGTTCAATTTTTAAGAGTCATTTTAGGGAAACAATTTGATTAGTTTTCTTTCAAATTGGTTATGATTTTTTTTATATGGTGCAATTTGAGTTCAAATTTAAGTTTATTTTTTTTATTTTTTTTCACACTCTTAAAATTTAGAGATCTAAATATCACAAAAAAAATCTTTTAGAAATTAATTGATTACCTCTACCATCTTTTGAAAATCAAATTAGATATTTACTTTTAAAAAAAATCTTCCAAAAAAAATACTCTTAAAAACACCCTCATATAAGATAATTTTTAATGTTTAATATATTGAACTAATATAACAATATTTTTCAAATTAAATGTTTATTCTATTTTAATTGTGTTTGCTTATTTAATATGAAAAGAGTCCTTAATCTCTTTTACTTTATTTCTTTTACAAATATACATTCTAAACTTTAATTTCATATTAAATGATTTTTAAAAAATGAGAAATTGAAAAAATATTCCTAAACGTATTATAATTAAGAAAAATTAGCTAAAATTGCTTTATTTATAAAATTTAAACACCTCTAGGATATTTTCTTATTTATATTTATTATCTATTTATAAAATTATCACAGAATCTAAATTTACTTATAAAAAACATTTAAATATAGGTAAATAAATACAATCATAAAGTTCAGTAGTTTTATTTCCAATAGTCTACATACAAAGAATTGTACTACTATTAATTATATAACTCAAATGATATATTCAATATTTTACAGTATTTTAATTAAATTTATTATAAATTATATTGACTTATATATTTAAAAATTAATCACTTATATACTGTCAGTGTAAAAAAATTTTACACTAACAAGCAATCATATCTTTTAATAATGTCATGCCATTTACTTATTTAATCAAATAAAAATAAAATAAAATAATTTAAAATATATGATCGATTACTAGTATAAGAAACTTTACACTGCCAGTGTATAGATAATTAACTCTATATTTAATACTACTCCAGAAATGTAAAACTATAACAAAAATTAAATTTTTTTTAATTCAAATTGTTTTAAATTATATTAAATCAAATTTATACCAAATTAATCAGGAGATGAATTATTAAAAATAAGAAAATTGAATCAAATAATTTTTCTCTTCAAAATTAATCCAATTCAATATGTAAATACATCTAAATATCATTGTGAAAGATTAGCATTTCTTCTGCATCTTAATTAACAACCTCCACTTCATATGCAAAAATTGACTTGCTGCAATCTAACCTTGAAAGTTCTTATCTCTATCTATAACTCTTAATACTATTTAATAGTGTTAACACTTAAGTTTTGGTACATAAAATATTAACACCTTAACTACTTTAGCACATAACATACTTTAACACATAACCCACAAATAACCAGTGACCTAACAAACTGTTGATATATCAGAAAAATGTAAAATGATAAATTAATATTGAAACAATGTGGTTTATCGGAGTAAGACCTTGGACCAAAGTATATATAAGCATTCATTCTCAATGCCAGTAGTTATTTATCAAGAATACAAGTGACGCAAGTTACTATGATCATTTCCCTTTCTCTTCATGGGAAAGTAAGCATTTTACTGTCAGTAATCTGCTCTTAATTTAGAATTTACAAAAGAAGATACAAGCAATAATTAATGGGGATATACATTTGAGAAAGTCATGTACATGCACCTCATTCGTTCATTCATCGGCAAGGAACCGTCCGTTAAGATTTTCCATCATAGAAAACTGCATATTCTCGGATGGTTTCCAATGACGTTTTCTTTGATTAATAAACCAATTATTAATTTGCTTCTGATCTAGTCCTGTTGACCTAGCCAGTTCAATCTTATCAGCTTCCTAGATGATCAAGTCAAAGAAAATACAAGTAATATATATTAGATTCACCAGCAAGTTTGCATTTAGCAGGGGTATACAAAACACAAGCAATGAAACCATTTACCGTTGGGTAAGGCCATTTGTAGTGAACATTCCACCACTGAAGCAATATTTGTCTTGCTTCCTTCGGAAGCTTACCCTTCTTTTTCTTCTTTGAGAACTCCAGTTTCAAAGTACCAATGTGACTCCCAAACTTACGTAAAAGCTTATCCTTCAGCTCACGATCTTCACCCTTTACTTGCCCATCTTGAGCATCACCATCTCCGGTACTCAAATCTTCTTCCGAGGACACACCCCCATCGTCTAGCCAAATCAAAGCAAAAGCAAAATCATTAAAATAATAGCACCTCGAATTAATCTTACAATTATGCAAACGTAAAATCCTTTGCTGCAATATATAAAAAAAATGCCAAATATAAGAGCAATTATAATAAGTAGAATATACTATATAAATTGTCATGTATAAATATAATAAAAAGTAATGAAACATCAGACAAGTTCAAAATTAAATTAAATAACAATAAATGCAGGGCTTAAGCTTATAATATCAATATCGATATAAACTAAGAATAATATAAGTTCAAATACCTCGTCTAAAACTTAAGAACTTAATTCAAGTCTTAGTCAAACCTTAAATGAGAATTTTATTCATTTAAAAACCTTCATAATCAAGGTTTGTTGGTCCAGAAAGACAAGAATTTTAATTAACCTAAAGTTATCTGAATCTTGCGAAAGTAAAAAAATAAACAAAATGTGTAAGCTGTGGATTTGACTCAAATTAGATAGAATCCAATAAACCTTAGGAACATTCGATCCCAAAAGGATTATTTTAATACTAACAAAGTGGCGTATTTAACAAACAATAATATAATAATAATAAACTTTGTTATTATAACAAATTCGTACTACAATATCTTGAATTTAAATATTTAAGAATCAATTATAAACCTATGTCTATTAATTTGAACATAAATTACATTTATTAACCTACTTAAAACTTAAAAGTGAGTTTGTAATCCAATTTAGTGAAAAATCGATGATAAAAATAATAATTAGACATTAAAAATAGTCTTTCAAAATTTAAAATATAAAATTTGAAATACACAATTCTATCAAGTAAAATTTAAACATTAATAGTTCCAATGAAAATAGCAAAAATAAAAGGGAAATAATATATTTTCCCTTGTTTAGTTGGCACAAAAGAAAAGGAAAGAAAGTTTAGATGAAGAATACGTCAAAATTTGATACTTTCCAATTAGAAAAGAAAATGAGAAAATATGAATTTAAATGAAAAATGAAAAATAACATTTTTGAGTCAATTTGTTATTAATTTTGTTATGTTTTATTTTAAGTGGTGAAATAATTTTAAATTTTATTATTTTTTGAATTTATCTTGTGCCTTGACTAGTATTTTTTTATTATTATTAAGGGCATATTTTGTTCTTCTTTTTATTATATTTTATTTTTGTTCGGAATACTTATATCATTTGATAATTATATATTTTTCTTTCTTCTCATTTTTCACACAGCCAAACATGAATAGAAAGTCTCCTATTAAACAACTAAAATTTATTTAATTTTCCACTCTTTGTACTTTCGCTTTCTTTCTTTTTTATTTTTTAAATCCTTATAAAACTTGAGGTATTCCATCATTGTTATTCCATTTTCATCCCTAATTTTCATCCCTAGTTTCACCTGAACATAAATTAATCTTGAGAGGAACTTTTGTCACTCATCATTTCTGATCAGCTTATCTCAAAAACGAATAAAGTTTAAGGACAGGGCTAGTCGCCCACGAGCACCCACAACAAATTGCTTCTGACACCCACTCAATCCGACAAGGATTTGACCATCGCATGAGAGTACACTGTACACAGCAGACCAGATCAGAGCAGACCTAGGTTGGAAAGAAAGAAAGTAAAGAAAAAGAAAACATCAGTGTTCAGTGCCTGGTTCCATCCATTGTCACTATGACCCAAACCAGAGAGACTCAGTTTCCAACGAGGCAAACGGTACGGTATCATCGAAACAGCGTCTTTCATCCTCAGCCCTAGTCATTACACTGCGCTGCAGATCCTAATTACCCATTTCATAACCCTTCGGATCTTGGTCTTCCCTCTGTATCCAACACATTTTTACATTATACTATGTAATGAAGACCTTCTAAAATCCCCCCCACCCGGTATTAAAGACTCTACTAAGGAAAGAAAGTATCAGCTTTAAACAAGGAATAAAAGAATAGGATTGCTTTCTTTACAAAGAAAGAGGGACCCCGTCTATAAAAAAGAAGAGACATTTCATTTGGAGTTCGACAAGTGTTACGCATCATACAATAACCCAAGGGTCAATGACAGAGGCCCACAATGGGCCACAAGAGAACAAAATATCGGAAAATGGCAATGACAAGCACTAAGACAAGCACTGGGCAGGCCAGGCTAGAATGCGTGGGGAAGGTATATACATTCATGGCATTGACATTGAACGTTCTCTCAAAGAAAAAGGCTGTAGCAAATTCACAGCGAAATCTGCGGGAGTGCATGTGAAAGTTGTAACTCTTAGATCACCCGCTGCACACGGGATTTTTCTAAAAGGGCCTAATTAATATTCACCAGAACCACCAGCCCCAACCTATATTATAATACCAAAGTCTTTCCCTCACATTCCATTATTTATGTAGTTATCAAAATCTTAAGATTTGGAAAAACCTATAACGTACATCTGAAAAGTCCAAATTATTTTGGATATCCGAGCTCCAACCCAAGAAGGGCCATGAACCACCACAGAGGTGCATCATGCGTATGTGTAAATTTCAAAACCAAGCTAGAATTTTCAATACCACCTATCCAGCAGCATAATATTTTGTTTCACATTTCTACATCACTCACATATATGCATCCGCCAAGAAGTCAATCCTAGGGTTCTTCAGACCCCCGGAATAAATGAATGTTAACGCAGCAAGCAAATTAGATCATAAAAAGACAATATTTGCACTACGCAGGAAGAGAGAAATAGCACAAAACAGGGAGACATTAAATTACGATCTGATCTCTAGGACTTCAAAAAAAAGTCAAACATCCTATCCGCAAAACACGGTCCAGTATAAATACTTAGCTTGAGATAGTACTACGTATGCCAGCAATGCACATTTTAGTTGGTGAAAATTTCATGTTAGATCCACTAGATCATGCAAGTTTCATTACCTATTTAACACATCCAACGCAAAACTCATTTAATAATAAAAGATTTATCGAAAAAAATTAGTAAAAAAGAAGTGAGATGTTAGGATTTCAATGCCCCAATTAACATTAACATCCCATGCATGCACCCACCATTTCACACCACGATGTAAGCACGCCATAGACTGATCATTCAAGATCGGGGAATAGTGAACTTTTCTCCATTGTAACAAATAATGAACATGCAACGCAAGTGCAACGCAAACTACTATCAATGAATATTAGGTAATTTCAATATTATTACAAAATTACCAAATAAAATAAAATTACCTAATAATAAATATTAGGTTATATTTATTATATAACATATTACATTCAAGATTCATTAGTTATGCAATTACAAACCACTAAAATCAACATAACGGTGAGAGATTAGAATAGATAACTAAAGACTAAGGTCATTGTAATATTTCCTATTAAAAAAAATTATGCCACGGCAGAAGATCATAAAATAAGAATACGGCTGGATACAAATTTATGAGTTTTTTTAAATGCTTCCCTATTGAAAATTCGAAATTTTTTCTAGCACAGAAACTCTATAAAAAAAACACTTTTAACTAGTGTCTACACGTTTCTACACAGGCTCTAAGACGGAGATCACTAACAAATAACTACAATATTCATCCCTTTTCACTTCAATCCTTTATTTTTCTTCATATCCAAGTATAAGCCTTGATCTAAAGCAATAACTTTATCTATAAAGCCTAGAGGTATTAATAGATATCTTTAGCACCTAACTAACGCTTATAGTAAATAAAAAAAAAACTTATTTTTATCACACACTTAAATAACATTACACGGAAAGAAGATATACTGAGCAACCCAAACAAACATCCATTAACCCTAAGCCTAAAAAATACAAACCAGACCAGAGTGCAAAATATTACAATATTAACGCCCATTTACAGGTCTAATTGAGTAAAAGCTTCATTTAAATGGATTATCTAGGAATCAACTAGATAGTCGTTTGGGATGTGATCAGGAAATGTCAATATCGGAAGAACTTCAAACATTGTTGCCAATTATTATGGTTCTCCTGCATTTGGTTTATTTGACTACATGAATAAAATTAATCAAATTATGTTCAGAATAATACCATTGATTGGAACCAAGTGGTGGAACTAATTGAAGTCAGAAGCTAAGGTTTGGATCAACTAAAAAATTCCAGGTGCTTGCTTCTTTATCTTCTGTAGGATGGTATCTGAACCAAATGAGCTTTTTTTTAATCTCTGCCTAGGAGGACAAATAGTTAGTAATTATCTGATTGTAAATATCCTGGAGATACCTCATGTTCAACTTATTATCATTGTCGACGTTCTATTTGTAAATGGGTGGAGTACCATTCATACTCCTTTCCTTTCCAATAATATTGACTTCGAAAAAATCAACGGCAGCAATGCTGCACGAATCCTAAGAATAAACATAAGTTTACCAAATAGAAAGTTCATGTCGATCCAAGAACCAGAAAACTTGCTTAAAACAAATACAAGATTCAATTTGACACCTGTAGAGTTTGCAGTACGGGGACAAGAAAAAATAAAATCAAATGAAAAAGATAAAGTAGAAAGAAGAAATTAGAAACAAAAGGATTTCACATCCTGTCAACTTTGCTTTTGAGACAATCGCTAAAGGAATATAGGTTGGCAAAAAAGCATAATGAAGGAGTTTCCATCAAATTAAGGATGCAAAACAAAGCCATTTTACAAATTAAGACATCACCACTAAAAAGGTAATCTGTACTTTCAGGCATAAATAATAATTTTTGCCAACCATAACCAACCTGACCAACAACCACACCTTTTAACAATAAAAAAAAAAATCAAATATAGTATAAGAATCCACAGTAATCAAGCCTCCACAATTAGCCAAACGGTATGAGAGTTGTAACTGGCGTGGATAAAATTCAGTAACCACAATAAAATTCCATAAAAATAAGGCCGACAACCCCTAAATAAATATAATACACATGCTTCTGCTTCAATGAGTATGTTCAACATATGGTGAAATATTATATTAAGAAACATAATCACGTATTGATCACACAATGAGAGAGAACAAGATCAGAAAAAAGCAGACGAGAAAAAAACCATCAATTTACAATTGGCCGATTCCTTCAAATAAAATTTCACAGTAAATTTGCAAAATTAATTTCTTGAATGAAAGGTTGACAACAGGATAATTTTTTTTTATTTTTTATTTTTAACTATAATAAATACACGAAGTATCTACCATAAAAAACAATAACTAATCTTTACCAAAAACTCTAAGTGCAACACAACAACAAGATAATCTAACTTCAATACTATTGAGCTCATTCTTCTAATTTTTACTAATTAACCAACAGGATAACTGAAAGCTACTTAATTCCATTTATTTTTAATAAATCTGACTTTACTTTTGTTGCAGACAGACTATCAGCTCCTTAGACAATTCCCAATGAGCATTTTTCATCACCCAACAACATGCATCATCTGTGCTCTATTGGAACTCGATACATTAATAAAGTATGAAAGCAGAATCATTGCATGCCATTACTGTCAGATCATGTTGTGTCCATCTAATCCAAAATGGGTGATACATAAGAGCATCTGCAATGGAGATGCTCTAAGAAGCTTATAATATTCAAATTACATTATTATCATAGTAAGTCTTTGAAACATGCAAGTTTCATGTCTGCCGGAAGAAAGAAGATAGTCATCCATTTCTATTAACGAAGTTTACACACACCTTAAAAGCTTGCATATAAGATATTATATGGGAACGCATTTTGAAGCCGAATAACTAATTCATTTTCTAGTTTCCACCACTACAAATTTAGGTAGCATTTCTGCTATAGTCTTCCACAGCAATAAAATAATTTAAGCCTGGGCGTCTACTTTTTAAGCCTCTAATTTTCATGATAAATAAAAGAGGATAAGTTTCACACATGATTATCAGATAACAATTTAATATATAACAAAAAGTAATGTCAATAAATATCATTTAGGTGTCAAAGCATGTAAAACCACGGTCTTCAAAATATTCACTACCAGGCAGTTATTTCTTTGAGTTGCACAAGTAGAAGAAAGCATACCTATTATTACAGGAGAAATGCTATCTAACAATAAGCGAACCAAAATATAAGTCATGCATCATTTAATCGACTGCGGCGGGTATATGAATCACAATTGATAACTAGAAACCAAGTATCAATATCCAGTGCGGCAGGCATAACCATTTTACTCGAATGAATTTTCTGTGGAAGTTTTTCAAACAGAAACTATTTCAAAATAGGCATGCACTTACAAGCCTATATGAAAAGAGTAAAGAATACGAAAAACCATTTGATAAGTGGCAGATGCGAGACGGGCAAGAAGGCCCATTAAAACTGATGGGTGTTTTGAAAAAACACCATCTATTGTTTGGTCAGTGTCTTAAATAGAGGCCACTATTATGCCATTAAGAACATATGCAATGTCAAAATTGGAGAGCCAAATGCAGAAGACCGTTGCTTGTCAAACTTGACATTTACGAGCAGAAAATGAGTAAAGAAAAATAGGATTAAAAAATCATAAATAGCTAATAAAAGCGTGCAAGAGAACAACTCCAAGACCAAACAAAACAAGCCACACAAGTCCATAGAAGCTAGCAATTAATTCGAATACCCGTTATAAAGAAGGAACTGAAAAAGGCGAAAGGTTCAAACAGCACCACTACCCCGGAATGACCAAACAACCAAACTTTTTTTCCTCCTATGACGAAAGAAGCACAGATTACAGGCCAACAGTGAAAGCACACAAAGAAAGTTACATACATTAACAGCAAGCAGCTGCACAGTCATGCACATAAACACCGATCCATAGAATAAAGAGAGAGAAGTGTTAGGGTTTTCCTTTCCTTTTTTCTACATTCTAGTACACTCTTTTCCTTGCGCTACTTCGAAAGCTGCGTGTCATGTCTCATTCTTGAGAGCAACTATTTGCAGCTCAATTATAAGACTATTCTGTGAGGTTTACTCATGTTCTCAACCAATGGTTAAACAACCAAGAGCATAAAAAACAGACAGATCAAAGAAAGCAACCAATCATAAACCGTGCTCATTTCTCCATGTAGGTTCTTTTCTTCAACCCAACTAAAGACATCTAATCCTGTTCTACACGCATACTCAGAATTTAAACTCGAAACCACCGGTTTAACCGAAAGAACTAGTTGAATCAGGCGCCATTAATGTGCCAACTAAGGGTGCTATTACTATAGCAGCCCCCACAACGTTTATTAAAACTAGCTCTTCGTTTTGTTTCTCCGTAAAAAAAGCAGCACGCACAGATATCAACGAGCATCGAGTTCCGGAATAATAGTAGCACTAGCAGTGAGGTAGTGAGAAAAACGAACCAGAAAGAGTGGAAACGGAAGCGCCGGTGCAGAGATGGCTGAGCTGCATTTCGATCTTGTTGAGGAAGGTGGTTGCCTCGTCGAAAGGGCGAGCCAAGTCGGATTTATACTTGACCAGCATGTCGCAGTAGGTTTCCTGAAACCAAAAAGAAGGGATAATCGGAGACACAATCTCAATCTGCGGCAAAAGTTGCAATAAATAAAATATTCATGTGTGTGTGCGTGTGCGTGCGGAAAGGAAGAGAGGGGGGACCATGAACTCGTCGAGCTCGGGATCGGCTCCAAAGCACGTGGAAACAAAGTCGCTCTTGCACAGGTCGTTTTCTCGCCGGATTTCGTCCAACAAGCGCGCGATTTCCGGAGGCGCCCCAACCTGCCGTTGACAAAAAAAAGTTTGTTATAACCGTTTTTTTCCCTTTCTCCGAGAAACGGTTACAATTCACGAGTTAGTTGCAGTCGCGTTGCGTCTCACCTTCTGGCAATCGATGTAAGCTTGGAGGAGGCGAGGGTAGTGAGGGTGCGAGGCGATTTTGGCCTTCATGACGGCGCTGGCCACGTCCTCCTCGTGCGGGCGCTGAATTCCGGCGGAGGGCTCGGCGGAGAAGAGCTCGTCGGATCCGAACATCGGAATCCGGGCTGCGGCGAGGTAGCCGTGGTAGTCGGCGGGGAAAATCAGATTCTCCGGCGTCATGAGAGCCTTGTCGGCGTACTCCGCCGTCGACGGCACTCCGTACATTTCATCCATAATCGCTGCGTTGCCTTTGCTTCGTTACCAGAATTTCTGGAACTTTTTCTGCTTCTGCTGCCAGTGCCAGAGACAGCTAGTCTTCAAGGAGAAGGAAATAAGGAACACAAAAATACATATAACAATAACAATTCCCTACCATTTTATTATTATGATTATTATTATTATTATTTTATTTGAAAAAAATGATGAACGGCCATCCAAAAATATCCAATTTAACCAAGCTTAAGATACTAATTATTTTATGGTTTTACTTTGGTTGAAACTAGGAAAATCTCTGTGGACTTACCTCTTGAAAGGTCAAGTGCTTTGGTTCATTTACTCACTCTTGGTGTTGTTTTTGCTTTGAATATTTTTGGATTTTCCTTTTTTCCAGGACGTTAATATAATAGTACTATTAATTTAAAATGATCGGGTGCGTGCGGGCATACGACACTTCCGGAATGGTGGAAACATGGTTTGGGTTGTCTAGGCCAACCAATATTACATACTAGTCTCTAGACCTCACCCCCTTCCCTCCTTTTGTGTATGAATGGTCACTTGTCAACACCTGTCCTATGCTTTCAGAATTAAATGTGAAAAATGCATATTTACATGCTAACAATTGAGACTCAAATAGTTTGTACCACTCGTTTTCAAAGCCCCAAATGTAAAATATTCCCTCCCTTTTCTCTTTTTATTTTCATTAAATATTTTTCTTTTTTTATTATAACAAGACAAAGGATAATTACTGATCAAAAAATAAATAATAAAGTAAAGATAAATATGTAGGCCAACTTTTAGAGATAATAATTGCTCGTGTCTCGTATAAAAGTGGATAAATGTAAATTTATACTATTATATATTGCTATTAGTTATGCACGAATTACCTTATTATTAGATAATGATATTAGTTTACATTGACTCACGTGATATTAAATTTAATCTTTAAATAAGATTTTCAGAACAAGTTTTTTATATAGAAAAAATATAACTAATGTTAAAGATTTAATATCAACAAATAAATTCTCAAAAAAAAATATCAACAAATAATAAAATTATCATAAAGTATATATAAGTGATAAATATATTATTTTACAAGTCAACTTTATAGATAAAATTATATTTAAATATATATTTTAAAACGGTGTCAAAATTATATATATCTTTTAATAATGATCATCTACCATTTATACATATATTAAGTCTAATAATATTAGGTGTGAGGTATATTGAAAATAAAATTAAATTTTGTTTATTATATATTATTGAAAAATGTCATTTGTCATTTATTTATACATAAAATCCAATAGTATTAAATCAAAATGGATATATAGAGAAAATTTTAAATCTCATTAACTAATAATAAGGAAACAACTAGTATATAAATGGAGACAACTCTCACCATTCAAGTTGGTTTGTAAGTTGAATTAAATTGAAATTAACTCTTTTAAAATGGTATCAATCTTACAAAAATGTTATGTAAGACAATGTTTATTTCCTATTTATATATATTAAAAATAATTATATCATAAACTCGTGTGGAATCTTCAACACACACCCTCTTTTGTCGAAAACTAAATATTTTGAACATAAAATTTATAAGATTGAATATTTATAGTTATTGGCAACAGCTAATCTAAATAACAAATGACCTAATTAACCTAAACTCATTATCAATCTTAAAAAATTAATTGAAACCTACTTTAACTTTAAAAAAAATGATTTATAAAATAAAAACTATTTACTACTTAAATATATACTATATTCACCGTATCACTACGTGAAATTAGAATGTCCAACCAAAAGTAATAAAAAAATACTTCAAAACTTAATCAAATTAATACTCAATCAACCATTGATTCCATACTTAGAGATATCACGATTTTTTAAAACAAAATCAAACATTCGCTCTTTATTAAAAGGAGAAAAAAAAAACAGTTTGAGTATAAAAATTTGTAACAATGATTAAAGTAGTTAAAACTTTATAAGAGAAATAAATTTGAATAAAAAGTTAAAAATAATTAAAATGAGATTTATAATATTAAATTTTGACGAAAAAAATTTAAAAATAACAATTTGACTATTCTTTTAAATATATATATATATATATATATAT